ATAAATCTGACACCGCGAGCTCTTCATCACCTGACATGTAGGACACGAGCCCATGTGGTGCTGTACATCGGTCAACAGCTCCGGCCAGTAGTAATACCGCTGCAGTTGCTGTCGTGGTTGCAGTTTTTTCTACCCCGAAATGACCCGAGGTATGGGGCTGTCCACCGTAGTACCCTCCTTACTCGACCGGGTGTGGTCGATTGCATGAACCGGCACAATCACTCGGTGAGGGTCGGTTGGGTCGCGCGAGTGGCGTGACCTGTCAGTAGAGGGCTCGTTTGCTACTGACTCCCAGCGTTTCTCTGCTGCTTGGTCTGTTCCTGCTACTCAGCTTCCCCCTTTCCCTTAGCGTTTTCCGGGCATTCGCTTTTGCGCGGCCGATTGCACGCGAAGCAGCGCCCTTTGAACGGTGCGGCAGCGGCATTCACGGCGTCGGCACGTATCGTAGCGCCCTCGTTCGTCCCACGAGATCGATGTCCCCAGTTGCTGCTACTTCCGTAGGACCTCGGTCTCGGTCGGCGGAAGAAATCGAGTTTCTCCGCCATAGCGAGAATCTCTTTAAATTCGGTGACGCCGCGGAGCTGGATTTCCTGAGCAATGTCGTGTTTCAGGCCGCCGATGTAGCGGTCGATGCGCTCAGATTCATGCATGTAGCCCACCTGCTCACACAGCGCCAGAAACCCGCCGGTGTAATCTTGGACGGAACCGAGATGGCGCCAAGTGCGGAACTTCTGACGCGTTGCGATCGAAGCCACAATTGGCTCAAATCAGGCACGCAGACCTGCGCACCACGCGTCCCACGTGCGATATTGGGGCACCTCCATGAAATACAATGGCGCCCAAGGTCCGGTTTGTCCTTCCCATGTCGGTAGAGTCGCGTAGTCCATCGGCTTCGTGACGATGACGCGCCACCAATCCATGGCGAGTCCTCGCAGCAACGACACGGCGTAGCGAATTTTCGCCGTATCCTCCGAGACGTAGTTGGCGTCGAAGAAAACGTTCAATGTGAACAACCACGCCTGAACGGTAGGACCACCCCATTGACTCGGGTTGAAGCATGGCGGACGCTGTGGCTTCAGCGGCATCGACGATGGCAGTATTGATTCGCCGGCCGGCACAGAAATCGTGATGCGGGGTCGACTCCTAGCCGCATTCGTCGCTTCGAGGTGTGTCGTGCCGTGGTCGTCGTCTCCGTCGTTGCGGACGACGCCATCACTAGCCGCGCTCGCGGGTTGCCCCACACTTCCGTGCTGCGATGCTTGTGGTGCAGGTTGTCCCGGAGTGCCAGGTGCTTGTGATTGTGCTTGCTGTGCTCGTGCAACGTCATTCTGCAGGGATGTGCGTTCCGCCGTCAGCGCTGCAATTTCTTCAGAGCTTTCGTGCAATTGTCGCAGCAGCTCGTTGAGACGGTCCTGCGTGAGTGTGGTGACGTCGATTTGTTCAGCCATAATGAAGGGCGTCGGCTCAGCTTAGTCTAGGCGCAGTCGTAGCTGCACGCGTTTACGAGAGAACGCGAGGACAACAGCTCCTAGTTGCTAAGGGGCGTGAGTCCCTTCGAGTGAAAAGTCAAAAGTTGATTTCCTAGGGTGCGGAGATGCGCGGTCCGAAAGAAAGTGGCTCTGATAACCAAGTGTTACAAGTGCAATGAATCGAGGTAGCGAGGATTGCACTAGAGTGTTCAAAGAGTACAAAGTATGAGCGAATGCATGAGCGAATACTTATATGCGAAATGTGCAAACGCTAACGCGGCTAGTGCTGCGCTGGCACGAGATTCGGGCTAGTCCCGAAGCGTAGGCCGACTCAGCTGCTCCACCAGTGCGAGGTTTGGTAAAACAGTGCGCGCGAAGTTGGCGAAGCCCCGTTAGCAACAACGGGCGAACAACGGCTGCTGTACGCGATGTTGACGGTCGCAGTAAGGAATAGCGAGAAATTTCCTTATATCACACTAAGAGGGGACTGTCGCTTTCCGGGGTACAATCGGTAATACAGTATTTGGAATGGCTGGGTAACGTATTCAGGAACAATGAGCGTTTGGGACACGGTCCTGACAACACCCACATGCTCATATTCACAGTTCTACCCGTACGTTATCTTAGGTACTTGATTCTAGCGAGAAGGTTCTTCAGTACAACTATATTCGTATCCTATAAAGATGCATTTACATCATTGTTGACTTCACCAAAGTGTTGATGCCATTGTTACTGACTGTAACTGGAAGCAGCACTGTATCCACCGCATGGACAACTATTGACCGACTCGAGTACATGTTTCCGATTAAAACTCTCGCGCCCCAGAAGTCTTCAGCCCTGACGACATGCAGCTGGTTGTTCGTTTGGTTCTTCTTGAGTGAAAGGCTGTTGAGTGTTTCCATCTGCAAATAATGTTGTGGAATGTGTAGGACAAATGGTGAAATTGGAGGTGAAAAAATGGACAGAAATGCAACAAACAAAAGGATTGCTGATTTGAAGTTGAAGGATTGCCGATTTGAAGTTGCCGATTTGCCAACAAAAGGATCATGCAGTAAAATTGCACTCTGAAACACATGTAGCAACTAGATTAATAGGAGGTTTAACTTACCACTTTGGCTAATTCCCATTGCAGCTCCTGTGAACTTTCGCCTGTTCAGGAATCCCAAAAACTTGTTCACTTCAGCCAATGTTGCTTGCTGCTCCACCGTCAGACTAGACCCAGCCCCTTTGCCAAGCGCTTGGCCTCCAGAACCTGCCGCTCCGCCTCCGCTGTTATTTCCGCCTCCGCTGCTTCTTCCGCCACCTCCGCTCGATTGCCCTTCGCTCCCCGTTCCGTTGCCCTTTCCGCTTCCGCCCCCGTGGGTAACTTCCCCGTTATTCCCAGCAGTCCCCGAGGTGTCTGTGCCTCTCCTAGTCACGGCGCCAGATCCGGAGCTTTTGCTCCCCCCCCCCCCGGGTCCCCTTCCCCTTGCCTGGGCCGCCTCTTCCCTTTCCCTTTCCCGTGCCCTTCCACGCGCCTGTCCATTTCCATGCGCCCGTCTGTGTAGCTTTCGACTCGCCTGTTCCTAAATTAATGATCTCCGATGCGCTTGTGACTAGAAGCAACGGCGACGCGACGAGGGACAGGAGGAGAACCAGAAGCGGGAGCAGGGCTGGCAAGGTTAGGCCGCGCGGGGGTTGGGCGTGGTGGAGAGCGGCATGAGTCGAACGTGATTCGCGGTGGCAGGTCGTAATGACGAGAGGGGGGAGTCCCCGCCGCAGATGCCGTTTGGACGCTATGACCATCGTCGCCATTATTGAGCTGATGACGCGTTGAGTCTGAGTCGTTTAGCTCGCACTTGTAATTGGTAGAGGCCTTTCGTCTGAATACGAGACCTGGCGACTCGGGAGCTTGAACCACCCTACTAGAACGGGAGCGCGTCGGAAAAGCTTTGTCGATGCACTTTGAAATGATAGCTGGGAGAAATAATTGAGAGGTACCTTGCAGATTCGAATCGATTGAACAACACCCTTCATGCTGCTCGCGAGCAGAAATATCGAGTGACTGATGGTTGATACATGGGTGCGTTGACAATGTCTAGGTTCGGCTACTTACAGTGGACACGTGGTTACGTTGGCAATGGCTGCATGAAAGGTGTGAGCAATACGTATCAAACAACGAAAGCTCCTTGGCCCAAGGCGACGTGAAGAGTGGCGTGTTAGCTAGAAGCAGCGCTATCAATCGCCGTGAAGCGAATGTGGGTTATGGTGCATGTGGTAGCTGGGTGGGAGGAGCACTGAAAACTGAAAACTTCTCGCCGACAATCCTCAGACGAGCGGTGGAACCAGCTGCAGGATGGCGGGGCAAGTGGTTGTTTTCAACGGCTTACTTTGCTTCAGCGCGCAGCACCGTTTAAAAATGTACAAAACCAAGAAAAAGCGTGATAAATGAGTTTGAACCAAATGTTTTGATGCAGGAACTGGAGGTGGGAATTTCCTGAAACCAAAAAAAAATTCCAAACCACGGGCGACTTGACTCATCGTGCTGCTGCCGGTCAGGTACGGGTATGTGGGATGAGGGCTGTGCGGGAACTAGTAGCTGGTCTGCCTGACAAGAGGGAGTTGGCTTGGCATTGTCGGTGGCACTGCCTTCTCAAAGTTACGAACTTTTATCGCTTTTAACCGTGGCTGTTTGCTGTTTAACCATATTTCACCGTGTAAGACCTCTCTAAATATTCGAACCTTGGCAGATGTTCGACTCTGATACACCACGTCCTGAGCTTCGCAAACTTGACCAGACTGGGATGGTAATTAAGCCGAGTCGCTATCACTCTGATACACTGGCTGGGCTGGGATGGTAGCTTCGCAAAAACACTGGGCCAGTGGCACTGCCCAGCTTCACAAATGCTCCACAGCGTCACCTCACCACAATACTCCACTCCACAGCATCACAAACAACACAACTCTCCAGAGTTATTTACAGTGCTCCCGCAAAAGCGCCCAGCAAAAGCGCCCAGCAAAAGCGTAATGCTCGCAGAAAATCGTCGCAATGCTCCAGAACTCCCCACGCACCCATGCTTGCTTCATGTATCAGCAGCACCCATTCTTCACGGCGCGCAGTGTCGTTGCTTCTTAGAGACCACCCTTGTTTCCTGTCTTGTTTACAGCTTTCCAAACAACACCCCTTAATTACCAAGCCGAGTCGCTAGTGGAACCCCTTGATACTGAGGCATCGTGCATGATGCTTGCCGCACGTATCTCGATGGTCGGTAATTCGGCATACTTGCTCACCACCCCACGAAGGGTGTTACTATCTCAATTCGAACCTCTGCGGTACCTCGGACTTCGTCTTCCGCGCTATCACTACGTTTGCATAGACCAATTTTTTCGACGCGCTCTAGTTCTATCACCTTTTTTCGACGCTCTCTAGTTCTAGTAGTACCAGTGTGGTTCAAGTCTCAACCTCGGCGGGTCGTGATCACACGAACTCCCAACCCCTACCAATTAAAAGTGCGACCGTTCATTTAAGAGGAGTCAGTAAACGACTTGGACTCAACGCGTCATCGGCTCGATGGTGGCAATGAACGCAATGAAGGGGATGGTGGCAATGAACGCAATGAAGGTTATGGTGGCGATGAAGGCACTGGTAGCTATGGTGGCAATGATGGCGATGGCGTCCAAACGGCATTCGCGGCGGGGACTCCCCCCTCTCGCCATTCCGACCTGCCACCGGAGATCACGCTCGATCCACACCACTCTCCACCGCGCCCAACCCCCGTGCGGCCAGATTCTGCCAGCCATGCTCTCGTTTCTCCTGCTCCTCCTGTCCCACGTCACGGCGTCGCCGTTGCTTCCCGCCGCCATCACAGAGCAACAGACGGATCGAAGCGCACCAGCGTCTTGAAGGCTCGGAGGGAATCTCTCGATATAAGCACATCGTCCGGCGCGAGAACCGACAGAGCGGGGCGGTGTTCTATCCTCCCTTCCCGTTAAAAAGTCCAGGCGCACGATCAAGCCGAGCGCAATGACGGCAGCGGCCGGCAGGCCGAATGCGTTTTTTGAGACATCTCGAAAATCGTCGTCTAGTGTTGACAAGTCCGGCCGCACGATGAAGCTGACCGCAATGTCGGCAGCGGCCGGCAAGGGGAGAAACCTTGGGAGGTGGAAAATCCGCCAAAACCAGCGCTGGCGCGGGGACTGGTGTAGCGACAGGCGCGGGGAAGGGTGTGATGACAGGCACCGGGAAGGGTGCAATGGCGGGCGCGGGGATGGATGCGGGGGTAAAGGAATGGGATCAGGGAACGGGAAGGTTTCGCCAGGAACGGGGACGGGCGCGGGGGAAGGAACGGGAAAGGGTGCGGGGAAAGGAACGAGGACGGGCGCAGGGACAGGTACGGGAACAGGCGCGGGGAAAGGTACAGGAACGGGCGCGGGGAAAGGATCGGGAACGGGCGCGGGGAAAGGATCGGGAACGGGCACGAGGAAAGGTACGGGAACATGAGCGGGGAAAGGAACAGGGACGGGCGCGGGGAAAGGTACCTGAACGGGTGCGGGAAAAGGTACGGGGACGGGCCCGCGGAAAGGAACGGGGACGGGCGCGGGGAAAGGAACGGGGACGGGCGCGGGCAAGGGAACGGGGACGGGTGCAGGGAAAGGAACGGGAACGGGTGGAGGAACAGGGGCGGGAACGGGCGCGGGGAAAGGAACGGGGGCGGGTGGGGGAAAAGGGAAGGGAACGGGTGGGGGAACAGGGGCGGGAACGGGCGGCGGAAAAGGGACAGGGACGGGCGCGGGGAAAGGAACGGGGGCGGGTGGGGGTAAAGGGACGGGAACGGGCGGGGGAACAGGGACGGGAATGGGAGCGGGGAAAGGAACGGGGGCGGGTGAGGGGAAAGGGACGGGAACGGGTGGGGGAGCAGGGGCAGGAACGGGCGGGGGAAAAGGGACGGGGACGGGCGCGGGGAAAGGAACGGGGGCGGGTGGGGGTAAAGGGACGGGAACGGGCGGCGGAACAAGGGCGGGAACGGGCGGGGGAAAGGGGACAGGGACGAGTGGGGGTAAATGGATGGGAACGGGCAGGGGAACAGGGGCGTGAACGGGTGGGGGAAAAGGGACAGGGACGGGCGGGGGGAAAGGGACAGGAAAGGGTGGGGGAACAGGGTCGGGAAAGGTTGGGGTAACAGGGGCGGGAACGGGCGGGGGAAAAGGGACAGGGACGGGCGGAGGGAAAGGGACAGGAACGAGTGGGGGAACAGGGGCGGGTACAGGCGGGGGAAAAGGGATGGGGACAGGTGGGGGAAAAGGGACAAGAACTGGTGGGGGAACAGGGGCAGGAACGAGAGGGGGAAAAGGGACAGGAACGGGCGGGGGTAAAGGGACGGGAACGGGCGGGGGAACAGGGACAGGGACGGGCGGAGGGAAAGGGACAGGAACGGGTGGGGGAACAGGGGCGGGTACGGGCGGGGGAAAAGGGACGGGGACGGGTGGGGGGAAAGGGACAGGAACGGGTGGGGGAACAGGGGCGGGAAGCGGCGGAGGGAAAGGGACGGGGACGGGCGGGGGGAAAGGGACGGGGACGGGAGGGGGGAATGGAACGGGGATGGGCGGGGGAAAAGGAACGGGGGCGGGTGGTGGGAAAGGGACGGGGATGGGCGGGGGGAATGGAACAGGGACGGGCGGGGGGAAAGGGACGGGGACGGGGGGGGGGGGGGGGGGGGGGACGGAAAAGGGAGCGGCGGAGGCAAGGGGAAGTGGTGAGGGAAACTCCAAGGGCCCCGGACCTGGCGTAGGCAAGGGGACAGGAGCTGGTTTTGGGGCGGGCGGAGCCTCGGAAACTGGTTCGGGAACGGTGGTTGATGAGCAAACAGAAAGCTCGGGGACGGGTAACCAGACTGGAAGCGGAGGAAACGCGGGCAGTGGCGGGCTATCGAGCGGAGAGGGGGGAACTAACATAGAAGGTGGAGCAGCAGGCTCCGAAGGGCAAGCAGCAGGCGGAGCGGGTGGGTCTAGTCTGACGGTGGAGCAGCAAGCGGCTATAGCTGAATTGAACAAGGCTCTGGGTTTTCTGTTCGAGTGGAAATTCACAGGAGTTGCAATGGGGATCAGCAGAAGTGGTAAGTTACATGTATCTCATAACACCCTTCCGTTGTACATATCATGTACATTTTGACATTTTTCTTCAAAACCATTTTCTCCCCGTTTATCAACACTACTTCAGTTTGTTGCAATTATGGACATTCTTGTTCCTGCAACCTGCCCCAAAATCTCCAGGTTTAAATGCTACACTTATGAACACACTGCGTACAAACAATGTTACAATCTTTGCACCAACCAACGGGGCGTTCTTCCGCATGCCCAAAAACGTGCGTTTCGGAGGGCTGCAGAGGAAGAAGGGAGTCATCTGGCAGGTGATGGCCTATCACGTGCTGCCACGTCGGAGGGAACTGAACGACCTCAAGGCCCTTGGGAATGGATCTCTGGTAAGTCTGACCTTGCTCTTATAATCCTGCGTGTTCCCTAAAACCTTTAGACGAAACCATTCCCATTGAGCTCCTCACCCTGCTCTTTATGTCTCTTTGCATGTTCACCCCTCCTTCCCCTCATATCCTTCATGTACTCATCTCCACTTTTATCCCTCCGCCCTACACGCACCACAACCGTATTTGCAGGTGGAAACACTTGATAGCTTTTCACTCAAGAAAGTCCAAACAAGCAGCCGATTGAATATTGCCAGGGCTGAAGACTCCTGAGGTGCACGAGTTTTGATCGGAAACATGTACTCGAGTCCTTCCATCGTTGTCCATGTGGCGGATACCGTGCTGCTTCTGACAAAGGTCAAGAACAACGGCACCTGGACAATGCCGTGGTGAAGGCAATCCCGCCATTGCAGCACAAGCCAACGCCAGTGCCGTGAAGGATGTTGGTTGATTCGAGATCCCATTTGAGTTGACTCGAATTCCGTACCCGACTTATTGCTAGCGTGATCCTCATCCGCTCTGGTCGGCCTGCCGTACCATCTCAAACTCCTCTAGTGACGCCTGGCCAAACCCTGATGCTTCTGAGGGTGTTGGCCGCGAGTGGAGCTTCGGTAGCAGATTCTGTGAGGTGGAGAAGGGTGGGGAGAGGGGAGGGGAGGGGGAGGGCCGTGGGGAAGTAGAGGAGTAGAGGAGAGGAGAAGAAATAAGAGGTGGAGGGGTTGAGCAAGGACTGCGCGAGCAGCTGACACAGGTACATCCATCCACCTGACGAAACCATCGTCACTTCCCAGGTCCCACAAAATGAGTGAATGCTAGGACGTGGCTATGTCTACTCCCCCAACTAGCCAGCTCCGATGCGCCGTCCCTTGTGGCTCGTTCTGTTAGGATGAAGCCAGAACACAGAAGATGGAAGGACGGGATTAGTAGGAGCTGCAATGGCGAACAAAAACGGACTCTACGACCAGCCGTTTTGCTCATAAACTGTCCAGATGCGGGCTTGGCTTGAAAACTGTCCCTACCGAGCCTGCCGCCTTCTGGTCTGCGAGATGCCATGGATACTGGTCCGGCATTCCGGCACTAAAGAATCAAGGCCTGCTGGCACAGCTTTCTCGCCCTCGAATGAACCGATTCAGGAATTGTTCTGGAGTCATTCACGAGGGGTCTTTCCCCTCCCCTTTTCACACACTCAGTGACTAAGTACTCGTGCTCTCTTGATAGTATAAATACGAACGGCTTGAAGACTTCAGTGGTGGCGGCAACGCCATAGTCAAACGCTTCCGAATGGCTACCGTGTCGCATTGCGTGTCCTCCGTTCTGGGAGTATCACGGAAAACAGTATCACCATCTCCGAGCAGGAACACGCGTTATCAGCTGATTCGTTTCCAGACACGAGCCTCACATGCTGAGTGTCATGCGTCTGGCTGCATCGGTAAAAGCTTCAGCAGAAGCAGCAGCAGCAGCACATGTAACAGCAGCCTCCTTAAAAATAATTATTTTGCAATGAGGCCTTTTGGAACTCGCAATGATGTCAACCGTGGATGCCGTTGGAGGGGTGTTGCTGCTGCTGCTGCGTCTTCTCCTGCTGCTGATGCTGCTGCTGCTGCCAGCAGCTCGCGGTCAGGAGGCCCAGCAGTGTCGGAGGCAGTGATTGTGGGTGGAGGATTGGCCGGCCTCGCATTGGCTATCGGCCTCCGGAACATCGGGATTGACGCGCAGGTATGCTGCTATTCGGAAGCAGGCATGGTGCTGGAATCAGGTACGTTAAGAATGCGTGAATCAGGGAAAAGTGTTGGAATCAGATAAAATTGTTGGATTCATGTAAATAGCTCGACATTATGATGCATCGTTACCGTATCAGTCCATGCAATGATTGATCCTTCATTGTTCTGTTCCCAGTATGTCTGCCTGTTGCAATATGAGGTTCATGCATAAAATGCAGACTGGTTCGTTATTCCACGTAACCATTGCATGTAACATGTTATGGTGCTTTTGGTCGTGCGCTGTGACTGCCTGTAGAAAACTTCGTGCGCCTTCTCCTCTCCTCTGGACGTATGTCATTGTTAGCATCCCAGGCTCTACATGCTACCATCCATGCGACAACATGATGAATTGATTTTCACCCGCCATGCCATGACTTTCTGTGCGATGCCCAATGCCGTGCCATGCTATGCCTGGTGCCACATCCCCACATGCAATGCCTAACGCCCATCCCCACGTGCAGGTGTAAGGGGCAGGGGATGAGATGCTAGGCGAGGGAACCCTCCTCACCCTCCACCCCAACGGGGTCTGGAGCACGTTTCAAAGCATGTCCTGAACTTGCTTCATCTCAAATCCTGCTCACAGGTGTATGAGGCCCGCAGCGAGGTGGGAGGAGGTGAGGGAACCCTCATCACCCTCTATCCCAACGGGCTCAGGGCACTCAACCGAATCGACCCTGCCATTGTGCCCCAGGCATGTGCCAGTGATGCCTTCATGTGATGGTGATGCCTGCATGTGATGGTGATGCGTGCATGTGATGGCGGTGTCTGCACTGCATGTGATGGTGATGCCTGTATGGGAGGTGATGCCTGCATGGGATGGTGATGCCTGCATGTGATGGTGATGCCTGGATGGAGATCTCCTTTTCCAGTGGGACCTCGCATCCAACATGACCACCTGCTTTGGTGTTCCCTGCTCACTATCCGCTGTTGCTTGCCTCCTTTCCCTCCCTTGACGCATTCCCTTTCGTCTCCTATTTCCCTCAGCTGATATCCCGTGGAGTACCGAACCCCACCGTTCTCAGCCGCTCTCTAACCGGCGAGCTGCTTTTCCAGTGGGACCTTTCGTCCAACATGACCCCCCGATTCGGCTTCCCCATGCTCTGCATCCATTGGCAAGAGGTGCTAGACGTGTTGCGTGGGATGCTGCCAAACGATGCCGTTTACACCGGACACAAGCTCGTGGGGTTTACACAGGGAGCGGAGGAGGCGGAGGGGGAAGGGGGTGGTGGGGAGAGTGGGGCAGGCATGGGGAGTGGTTTGGTGAAATGCGTCTTTCGAAAGGTGTCCGGTGGTGAAGAGCGGTTGCTGGAGGTGGAGGTGAGTGGGGGAGAGGAGGTGGAGAGCTGAGGAAGGTGGAGGGGGGGGGATTTCTTGTGGGAGGTGCCAAGCAATGTCATGCCTGTGTCAATGCCATGGGCGATGCCATCGCCCATGGCAAAGGGTGTGTGGGGTGATGACTTGGGGTGATGATGATGTGGGGTGATGACTTGGGATGACAACATGGACATCGGTCTCTCTAGGTCATGTGACTGCCTCCTCCTTTTCTTCTCTCCCATATATAGCATTCTCCATCTGCCTCCTCGTACCCCTTTCCACCGCATTTCACCCTTTCTTTTCTTTCCCCTCCCATCCTCCAGACCCCTGTGCTGCTGGGGGCGGATGGCATTCATTCGGAGACTCGGAAGCACCTGCTGGGGGGGGAGGAGGGGCGCAATGGGAGTGGCGGGGCAGCAGGAGAGGGAGTGAGTCCGCGAGACAACGGTAGAACCATCTGGAGGGCCATCATTGACAGTTCCCTCTGCCCGCACCCCGTATGTGTCCCTCTGCCCACACCCAATATGTGCCCCTTGCTCCCAACTGGTGAATGTCTCACATGCCCAGCCAGCTATGTGTCCCTCTGTTCCCACCCCATGTGTGCCTCCTCTTAGTCTGCTAAGCCACACATTGTTCACAAACTATGCTCGGTACGACTCTGTTTTGTGCGGGCTCGCAGAATCGACTTACACAGTATGGTAAGTGTCTATTGCTCTCTGTCTGCCTGCTGAGGGCTCTCAAGGTGACTTTTCACTCGGCTCAAAAGTCAAGTTCTCTCTGTCTGTTTGCTGAGGGCGCTTAATTACACACACGAGCAATATTCGGTGTCAATTCAACCTCTCAGCAGCTGCTGTAGAATGTAAGGCAGGCAGGCTACGTGTGCTGCGAGGCCTTCCCTCCTTTCATCCTTCTCCCTTCTTCCGTCCTGCCTGTCCCTCCTGCAGCTGCTTCTGCCACGGCACGCACTCTCTTTTATCGGCCTCAACCGCACTGCAACCGTCGTCGACACTGGAGGAGGAAAGCTCTACTGGGTGTTGACGCTCGTTGATTCCGCCGATCCGACGGTCAGCAGCGCGCGGTCCAGCGGGGGGGAGGAGGCACAGGAGAAGATCCTACGGGCATTCGAGGGTTGGGATGTGATGACTCAGCTGGTCAAGGCCACTCCCCCCGACCTCATTCTCGAACGCCGCGTGCTCGACCTGTCGCTCCTGCCCTTCTGAGTCAAAGGCAGGACGGCTCTCCTGGGAGGTATGACTGTCTAGGGAGGTACTGCTCTCCTGGGAGGTATGCCTGAGGTGATGGGGTGTGGGATATAGGTGGAATTAGGTTTTTCTTTCTTTTTACTTTTGAGTGTGTCATGCTGGGAGGTACAGCCGGGGTGATCGCGAGCAGGATTTTTCGTACATCACTTAATCGCAAGGGAATTTTGTTGCAACAGCCATGGATAATCGCAAATGGAATGCCCATATGAAGAACGCACTCACAAGCAGCACAATGTGTAGCAATCCTGCCAAGTCTATCTGGCAAAAGCCTATCCACTCTTGCCTCCAACGAAGTTGTGTGGTGCCCCAGTCCGCTACCGTGCATGGTCGTTTGGTATGCCCCTGTTTGTGACAGACTTGGATTTCTGTTTGAACCTCTCTTGAAGTATGACTGGCAATATGGCAGTGGGCCAATCTTCCTGTGCTCGTGTTTCACTCCCCATATCCCCCCCACCTTCGCTGGATTACCCTCTGCCTGTCCAGATGCGGCGCATGCAGTGACGCCAGGGCAGGGTGCCAATCTGGCGTTTGAGGATGCGGCTCAGCTGGTGGAGTGCCTCCGGGCGCACTCGCATGTCAGGTGGGCTGTCTGGTGGGCTGTCTGGTGGGCTGTCTGGTGGGCTGTCTGGTGGGCTGTCTGGTGGGCTGTCTGGTGGGTTGTCAGGTGGGTGCTGTCACATGCCGGGTGGGTATAATGGCATGCCGTTGTTTTTGCTGAGGTGCTTGTTTTCTATTGCTCCATTTCACCATGCCGCATTCGCATGGTTTTGCACCCACCCACCCTCCCTCTCGTCCTCTCGTCGTCTTGCCGTCCCACTCCCCCTCTGTAGCCTCAAAAACCGTAATGCATCCTCCTCCCACCCTTACTGCTGCCTCACCGTTCCTCCTTTAACCCCCGTGTCATCCCAAAACGGCATCTGACAGTGAGACGGTTCAAAGCAACATCTTCTCTCCCTCTCCTTCCCATCCCTTGCAGTGATGCAAGAGCATGCCACAAGCGGGTCTTGGAACACCTGAAGATACAACCACCACCCCCGCCCACCCCCCCTCCATCCCCCTTCTGCATCCCATCCCTTCCAGTGATGCTCTTCGCTCCTTCCAATCCCTCCGCATGCCACGAGTGCAAGCGGTGGCAGCACGTTACGCTGCTGCTTCAAAGAAGCTGTATGACGAGAAGAAAGGGAAGAACGCAGCAGGGAATGAGGGAGGATCAGGCGGTGAAGGAAGTGAGGCGGATGCAACGCCAAAGTTTGAAGAGGTTCAAGCGGCAATGGCTGCAGTGGCGGCACGAGAGGGGCGTGATCCCGACGAGGACCTATATGGTTATGACATTGTGGTTTGGGAGGAGGAGGATCATCGTGTTGTGAGTGCTCTGCACTAACGTGTCCTTGTTAAAGAATGTGCCGTTACAAGGAGGCATGATCCTGATGAGGACCTGTATGTTTATGACATTGTGGTTCTAGAAGAGGATCCTAGAGTTGCAAGTGCTATCCTCTGATTTGGTGTGCATTCACAAATCCGCAATGATGCACTTGAATGCGCCTCATGTGATGCTGACAAGGCACTCTGTGCTTTCCACGTGAGTCTATCGTGTTGCTGCAGTGAGGCAACACATATTGCTGTTGGGCTGAGAAAGCCCTTTAGGATCTTTGCAGGGCAGAATTCAAGAGTAGGATGATGTAATAGCGGAAGCGTTTTAATAAGGATTGTGAACCACCTTGCGCTTGTATGTGAGGGCAAAGTAAGTTGATTAAACAAAAGAGATACAAGCTTTTATAAGAATACAGAGAATATGAAGAGATACGGTTACTAACTGTTTTACTGTTGCTGTTGCGGTTCGATACAGTGTCGACTCGGGCAACTGCTCAGTATCGAGACAGTTGTTTGTCCTTGCTGTCGCGCTGCATTTGTCAGGTCAAAGGTCACTGACCTTTGACTTTCGCGTAACCTCCAACAGTTATTCAACTTCCGAGGGTTGACTCACCGATGTTTCGATACGATCTGTTTCGCTTCTGTCTTGGTGTTTCGACACGACAGAGGCGCTTAAATCAGTTGTTTCCAACACTCCCCTTCGCTTCTGGAGTGTCGTTGCAGGTGACATGGCTCTGTCCAGTCAGCAGCATGCAATATTCAAACTTCGACTTTCCGAGCTTCTTGGTCAAGTAATCAGCTGCCATCTCGGATGTGGGACAGTAAGACAGCTCAAGTCTTCCCTTCTCGATCTCGTCCTTTACGAAGAAATATCGCAGGGCGATATGTTTCGTTCTGTTCGCGAATCCATTTTTGTTGGCGATGCGAATTGCCGACTGGTTGTCGCAAAATAGGGAGAAGCTGGGTAGCTGGGCCAGCTTCGCTTCCTCCAGAAGTTCGCGAAGATACAGTCCTTCCTTGGTGGCTGAGCAGAGTGCGATGTATTCAGCTTCAGCTGAGGAGAGAGCGATTAATTCTTGTTTGCTCGACTGCCACGAAATAGGTCCGATAGGCTCGAGGCGGTAGATGTAGCCTGTGCGCGAGCGCCTGTTGTTATAATCTCCGGCGTGGTCGGCGTCGACGTAGCCGATTAGCTTGGGCGTTGTAGTTATGTTCTTGTAGTAGATCAGGCCGATCGTCGGAGTGCTTACGAGGTAGTGTAGAGCGCGATTGAGTTCCTTCATGTTTTGGTCTTCAGGCCTTTTGAGGTAGGTGGCGAGTTGACTTGCTGAGTATGATAGGTCTGGACGGCAGGTGACGGCCGCGAAGAGAAGGCATCCTAGCTTTCTCTGGTAGTTGCGTATGTCGGCGGGTTTCAGTGGAGCAGATTCTGCCTTGTCATTTCCTGCCGTGTAGCGGTATGGCGTGGAGATGGTAGTTGGCGTGAGTGCGAACCGTTTGGCGATGGTGTCGGCATACTTTGCGGCGTTGAGATAGATCGCGTCTTCTCCTTCTTGGATGTTGAGACCGAGGTATTGCGTGACGGTAGATGAAACCGTGAGCGTAAGTTCTCTCTGTAACTCCCCTTCGAACCAGGTAGTGACATTGTCGGTTGATCCGATGTAAAGCAGATCGTCTACGTAGACGATTAGTAGGATGTAGTCATCGCCTTTCGTGAGCCGGTACATTCCTTGGTCGTGCGGTAGCTGCTGGAATCCGATGCGAGTGAGTCGAGCGTGTAAGTACTGCTGCCACAGTCTCGGGGCCTGTTTGATCCCGTACAAGGACTTCAGTAACTGGCAGACTTGGTTAGGTTCTCCATGGGAACCGTGTGGAAGTTCGACGAAGATTTCTGCGTCGACAGGTGCGTAGAGGAAAGCATTGGCAACGTCGATTTGCCGCAGCTCCTTTTTCTTCATAGCGGCGACCGCGAGAAGAATCCGTAGTGAGGTGTGTCGACTAACTCGGTGAAATCGCGTCCGTGCTCTTGGTCGAAGCCACGTACGACCCAGCGTGCCTTGAACTTGTCGATGGTGCCATCTGCTTTCGTCTTCACACGGAAGACCCACTTCCCGGTGAGTATCGTCTTGTTTCGTGCCACGCCGATAGGAACAACCTTCCAGGTGTTGCGCTCCTGTAGTGCTTTCAATTCCTTGTCCATGGCTTCACGCCATTTTTCCCTATGCTCCCCCCCCAGAGCCTGCTGGACTGTGGCAGGCTCCTTAGGAGTATCCGTGCCGTGGACCGCGGTGACAAGACCAAGTATCTGAAGGCCACTCTGTGTGTAGCGGGGGAGTGTTGTGTCCGCGGGATAGGCTGCTTCGTCACCTGCTTCTGGGTCAGGTATGAAATTGGGTCCTATGCGTTCTGCTTCGTTGGTGTTGACTTCTGCAGGTGTAACGTAACCAGTGTCGGCGAGGTCGAAATAAGTTTCGGCGTTGACGCTTTCGCGAGGATTTTCGTCATCCATCGGGATAGGCACGGAGCAGTAAGGGAGTGGTCCTGCTTCATCCGAGGCGTTATCCACGTTCTGCTCGTCCCAGTCAGCTTCGTCTGCTGCCGAGGCGAAGTGTCGGTCACCATGGAAGCCACCTGTTGGATCCCGATTTTCTTCCAGGTTGGCAAGATATGTCGGAAGGGTGAGTCGTTCGTAGAAAAGGACGTCACGTGCTGCTACTGTTTCTTTGGAGTGGACGTCGAAAATCTTCCACGCGTTGTAATTCTTTTCGATGCCCAGGTGCAGTCCCCACTGTGCTCGTTGGGAAAATCGGCCGGCTCGTGCAGATGGGGGTCGGTACTGTACCATGCAGCCGAAAACTCTTAACATTTTTGTGTTGCCCTGTTTTCCTGTCCACAGCAGATGCGGTGATGCGTTGTTTGGTAGTGACGACGATGAAAGCAAGTTGTGCAGCATGACAGCGTGGTCCATCGCTTCAGGCCACTGGTGATTGGGCAGTCGCATGCCACGCAGTAACTTGCGCATGGTGTTCTGGAGAGTTCGATTCATCTGTTCCGCCACGCCTTGCTGTTGATGGGCGTAAGGAAGCGAGATGAGTCTCTTGATTCCCCTTTCTGCCAAGAACTGCTTGAACCTCTGTGAGGTGTATTCTTCTCCTCCGTCTGACTGAAAGCTTTTGAGCTTCTCGCCCGATTCTCGTTCTGCTACTGGGAGCCAAGCGATGAAGGCTTCGAAGGCCATGTCCTTGCTCGGAAGATTAAGGTGCCAGACATAACGCGTAGCTGCATCGATGAACGTGATGGTGTAGCTGTATGCTCCTTGTCCGGGTTCGCGATTGTACAGGATGTCACTGTACACTTTTTCAAGTGGTGCGTAAGCGGGTGCGCTGGGGTTGTGGTGAGGAGTGAAAGGTCGATGCGGTAAGTCAGCTTCGGGGCAGGTAAAACACGTTCCTCGCGCTCGTCGAAGTTCGCTTCCATCGGTTAGAAGCAGTGAATCTTTGTCGAGAACTCCTGCTCGGATTGTATTGTTTAACACCGTATTACTTGGATGTCCCATTCGTGCGTGCCAGATATCTTCGCTGGCCTATGTCCGGGTGAGCGTCGATACAGGTCGGAGTTGGAGTAAAAGGCGGCGGTGAAGTTGGTGCTTCTGTGAACTTCGCGAGGAGTGGGAGTTAGCTGCTGCGCAGGAGTTGGTGAAGTATTGTCGATGTGTGGCGATGTCGTTGAAGAACTTGCGACTGGTGTTGTAAGTGTTGTTGGTATTTCCGATGGTTCTGCTGCTGCCGATGTTGTTTCTTCTGCTGCTGATGTTGTTTCTGCTGCTGCTGATGTTGTTTCTGCTGCTGCTGATGTTGTTTCTGCTGCTGCCGAGTGTTGAATCGTTGCTAAAGCTCTTGTTCGTTCTGCCTCAGGGATGGTGTGCGAGTACCAGAAGCCTTCTGGACTGAAGTCGGGGTCAAGATCCGGTGGATGTGTCCAAGAGGTGAAGGTGACAATCCCGTCGCTGTCGGCAGTGCCGAGATCTGGAACAAAGTCGAGGACGAATACATTGTTTTTCAAGACTGCTTTTCCGATGTAGAGACCACCCTTGCCGTGGTATAATTTAAACTCCTGAGTGGTGCTGTCTGCCTCGAGGTGTATGCCCTTCGCCATCAGCTGACTGACGCTCAGTAGGTTGTAACCGAGTCCTTCTGCTATCAAAACCTTTGACATCTGCAGTATGACGTTTGTTTCCCGTGACTGAAGTTGCACTACGCCTTGTCGTCGTGTGCGCAGGTTCTGATTGTTTGCGACAGTGATGACGACTTCACGTTGAAGTTGGTGTTCACGTTGAACAAAGCGTCCTGAGGAGCACATATGCTGTCCACAGCAACTGTCCAAGAACCACGTGTCTTTTCCTGATGGCTCGCTTTGAGCGATGGCTGCGTATGTTGGATTTGGTTGAAGTAACTCGCGGCGAGGCGTGCTGTTGTCGAGTTGTTCTTCCGGTGAGTAAGATGGTGGTGACTCTGTGATGCAAGAATCTGTCAGTCGTGTCATGCAACTGACGATGTTTCTTGTTTCTTGCGCAGGTTGTCCCGTCGATGTCGTTGAGGCTTGTACTTGAGAGGTCGGATTCGCTTGCGTTGAGGCCACTTGACTGCTTGAAGGTCGAAGCTGCCGCTGCGTTGGTACTGATTGTTGTCGGTTAGGGCAGTGTGAGCGAGGATGCCCTGACATCTTGCAAAGGTAACAGAACGGAGGTACTGGTTTTGGTTGATGCCGATTGTTGTTGTTGTAGCGTCGTTGAGTGTGAAATGCAAATTCGGGTACTGATGCCTTCTTCCTGTGTCGTTCCTCTTGCAGGTCCATATCTTGCTGCTCAGCATGGATTTCGGCGCAGAGTGCTGCTTCTGATATCTTTCCATGCGCTCGGAGTATGGCGCGGGTGGAGCGCCACTGAGGACCGAGGCCGCCGATGATGACTGTGACGAAGGCGTCTTCTGAAATCGACCCTCCGCATCGAAG